AGTCTTTGATTAAGTGTCGACTAGTTTCTTCTGTATTTTCTTCTTCTATTTATAGTGTCAAAGTAGAGATAGCCTCTTCCTTGAAACTTAACACGTTTTGCCAAAAAATTAAGGATCTCACAAAACTTATGGTATAGTCTTTATTCCATGCTCTTTATTTTGGTAACCAGCCTGCTTCATCAAGATACTTAGGCATAGATTTCGGTATTACTTAACATTGTGTTTTCGTGCCAATGGTCTAATATTTGCAACTGATAGGATTTTGGCATGTTTACTTATTGTGGCCTTTATTGAGCCTCAAGACCGGCCCGTTTATATTGGGCTTGACACTTCAATTACTCAGTCTAACTAGCCTTGTGACCTGTTTGAGCGACGTTTCATATTTAGCCAAAACAAGTACAAAAAAAAGGTATTTAGTTCTATACATTGGATTCATTTAATAATACTATTGTTACACATGCAGAGTAGATCTCATTGCATCATATGTGCGCACGCGCTCTTTTCAATGTGTAATATTATAATACAATATAAGTCTCAATGAATACTAATGTATTAAAAATCAAATTGATTATTGAATCGATCAAGATTCTAGTTCAAAGGTTAATGATCAAAATTATCATTATCAAATTACTTATAAATAAATCATTTTAAAACTAGTCAAGATACTAATTTAATAGTTTACTGGTTTAATCAGACGGGTTGAACTGGATTTCTATACATAGTGAATATGTACTTTTCTATATTGCTTAAGTTTTATCAAAAAATTGAATATTTTGGGCTCTTCATAAAGAACAAGCTAATTAGGAAAACAAGTATTATGAGTATTTGTAAATGATACTCATTAGGCACTTAATCACTCAAATTAAACTAAAAAACATTCTAATGAGTATAGGGTGCAACCTATGTCAGCTTTCACATGAAATTGATTAAAAATTAAACCCTAAGTTGTTTAAATCTATCAAAACCAATAACAATTTAATTGGGTTTGATTGGTTTGAAATTTAACAAACAAGAATTAAATGTAAACTAAATTTTTTGGTATTTTTTGATGTCATTAAAATGCAAATCAATTGTCTTTTTAGGCAAATGAATTCCCTCTCTTATCCTTGCTCTATCTAAATAATTCCTCGTTAACTCTAATTAGTTTTAAAGACATTCTAATTCCACTAGGAATTTAGTACTTTTAGGTTCCTTAAATTAACTAGGACCCTTAATTATTAGAATTAATTGTGCTTAAAAATGACCCATTGGTTATGTTGTTAATCACTAATTTCAGCCTTTTCTTTAACCAAATGAGACCTCAATTGATTAAGAAAAATAATTAGCCAACCCTAAGTATGCTCACTAGAGATAGCTAGAAATTTAATGCAACAATAAATTGAATAAAATTAAATTTGGACTTTCCCAAATTTGAAATTGCACACAACACTTCAATTGGCAAGTAAACAACATAATAACCTCATATATAGCACTTAACCAAGCATTACAAAGTTAGTCCAACAACCATTATTATTACAATGTCATAGTAAAATTGCAAGGAATTTAACAAGAGGCAGAGATGAGAGAAACTCTCAAAATCTAAGAGCTTAAAAAGAGTTCATCCATGCTTCTTAGGAAAAAAAAGACAAGTCTAGCTACTCCTTATTAGCATCCCCATAGCCTTTCCTTGAAGACATTCAAACAAAACCACCATGAAAGAAAGCTTGAGAATGGAAGGGAATGGTTGTTTTGTTTTGAGGGTTATGATGTGGATTGTGTAGGGATTTATTTAGAGGGTTTAGATTGTGAAAATGAGGGCTTTAGGATGGAGAAATGGTGGAAGCTGGTTTAGGATTCATGGATGTTCTTAAGAGAAAAAGATGAAGATGAATAGAGGAAAAAGAGGAGTAAAGTTTTTGGCCAAATGGTGTAATGATATGTGTAGAACGAAATTTCCTTTGTTTTGGAGTGTTCGAGGCTCATTAAGATCAAACTAATGGCTAAGAATCATGCCCACCAAGTTCCCTAAAATGATGTGAGCTTTTTTGTGCATCTAAGGGTTCTTTCACATGATATTTCATACATGGCCATGAATTTTAGGAATTAATTATTTAAATAATAATAAATGAAAATGAAAAAAACTAACAATATGAAAACAGATGGGAAAATTTAAAAATAATATGATGGGGCTAACAAAAAAATTCATAACAAAGAAAAGAAAAAATGGAATTGAAATTGAAAGATGTAATTGGCATGACTATCTTTAGGTTTTCTTGAGATTTCATCAACTATTTGTAGCATTTTGATCATCCAATTAACTTATCCAAGGGCTTAATTCCATGCAAATGGACTGTCATAATCATCTAAGAGCTTCCCAAGGTTTAAAACACATAATGAACTCAATAAATAGCAAGTTGTGCATAAATAATTTCACATCTTATAAATTTATTCAACTTAGGTGTGAACTATGAAAAATATAGTGAAGTGAATTAAAATGACTAAATAGAAAATTATGAGATGAATTTAATTGTGAGAAGTTTTCTAAAAGTTCTTGATTACAAAAACTAAGCGTAACACACTTTTCAAAGTTTATAGAAAGTACAATTAAAATATAAAAAATGTATACTTTAAATTTTATTTTAGTGAATAACTTACAATCTAAGTTAAATTAATTCAAATTAAACTCATGAGATTAATTAAGAATTTAAAATTATTAAATGATAATTCTTTTTCAAAATATCATTTTGCCCCTAAACTTTTAGAATTAGAACTTTGCTCCAAAAGTTTTGGAAAGTACTCAATTGAACCATATGATCTAAAATGCTTCTAATATGCACAAAATAGTTCTAAAAAGTGTCAAAAGTTAAGAAAAATAATATGAAAATAATATCAACAAATGACAGTTATCAGTAAAGTAATATGGTTTTTTTTAATATTTCTTTTATCACTCACACTTATCCTCTTATTGAAGATCATGATCATGTTTGAGATACAGTCAGGTATTAAATATAAATATTTTTCTAAGCAGAAATTTAATTGATTTGTTATATTGTGAGGGACTAAATCTTTATGTTGGAATCCATCGCTATTAATTTTGTATATGTTCTTGTACACATGATTTTGTATTTGAGAAGAATAGGCATTTTAGCAATAGGTTATTGTGAACGTAATTTTGTTTATTCTTGTACATAGTGTTTGATTTTTAAGATATTCAATACTATTAATCTGGGATATTCTTATTCTTACACACACACAGACACAGATATATATATATATATATATATATATATTCTTATTCTTTACACGATAGATATATCATATATATTACACGCCTTTGGGTCCTGCAGTGGGGAAATTTGACGAATAGGTGCGACAAAAATAAGCTGACGTCATGAACGCCGCGTCATGAAGCATTATGCACGTCTTCAATATCATTTTACACGTTTTGGTAAAAAAAAAAAAAAAATCTTTCAGCTCAAAATATTCTGTGTTTTGCTAAAAGTACAATTACAAACATTGATGCATCAAATTTTCACGTACATGGATGAATGTTGTTTCAGAGTTAATACATTACAACTCCTTGATTTTTTTTTTATACAGTTACATCAGAGGAAGATGAAAATGAAGCAATTAATTCAGCAAATCGAAAATATATAGTTTTGTAAAAATGAAATACACAGGTAATAAGCATCTTGTTAACTTGTTTGTCATATTAAAGACGAGTCTGTTTGATATTAAAAAAGTGATCCTAGTTAAGCTAGATATGACAAAGTTGTTGTAAATACCACAAAATTCTAGAGAGAATTTAAGTTTATTAAACAAAAAAGAAATGTGTTGGAAAAAATTATTTTAATAAGTTATTTTGTATCACAATATGAGATATTTTTTTAAGTTTTATTTAATTGTAAATATAGAATATTAAGTATGTTTTATATATGTTTTTTTTTCAATTACACCATTACATTGTTGACTAATTAATGAAGATATTTTGAATGAGTGGATATTATATTTATTACATTCAAGGTTATGATTGAAAAAAATATAAATTTCTTTAAAAAGTTAAGATTTTAATCAAATTTTTAAAAAATATAAATTAGTTTAAAATAACTTATATGATGATTTGCTGGGAGTATATAAAATATACGGCTTGTAAAAAAAGTCAAAGATATAGTTTTTTTCTACGAAACTTTAACGACTGGCTTAATTTCTCTCACCAATCTAAGTGTCAAGATGTCCACATTTAATGTTTGGTCCTATGTTAAACAGAATTATCTCATTTAAGAAAATAACACTCAGCAATTAAAAAAAAATTAAACAAACTGGCCCTAAGTTTCATTCCTCCCATCCCTTTGCTTTGCAGTTTCTTTTCTCTTATTCCTTTTTCCCAAGTGACATACATAAGGCAGACACGTGAATGCATCCCATATTAAGCAAAACTGATGCTGATCTAATGAGCGATTCAAGTTTTCACAGTAGTCTCTCTTGATCATTAAGCAATTTATGCTTATGTTAAGGTCATTTAATTACTTAAATTGTATGTACATGTGAACGTACGCCTCAATAGATGCAATTACGAGTTGTTTTCAACGAACTAGCGAACGCTCTGGGCGGAAAGCCAGCTCGACTTGGAAACAATCCCAAAGATTTATCTATTTTTCAAATTATTCATGGCATCATTTAAAAAATAGACACATTTTTTTTTAATTAATAGTATCTGAAACACAATTCATAGACTTCAGAGCAGAAAGTATAACAACAAGCAACCGAATCAGAACAACGATGAAAACTACGATGCACACATTGATCAGTCACACGCAACAGCGAAGATCAGTTGGTGCCATATGGAAATTTTGCTGGCCATTTGTAGATGACAAAGATCGAATGATGAGTTCATACACACACACACACACACACACACATATGCGAAGTATGAACTAATTTCATTGCAAACTCGGAAACTGGTTATTTCACGTTGAAATTCATCAGATTTCCACAAATCAGTGCTGCCATTGCCGTTTTCTTCAAAATGCACCAGAACCATACACAAACCTCTTTAATCTCTCCGATATCCTCCCAGCTCTGTTACCACCATCTCCTATCTGAACAACATTCAATGCAAGAACCAGATCCATCGGTTTTATCATCCCTAAATTAGATGCGCAGGCCTGGCTAAATCCTCCTAATCAACAGAGAGGAGAGAAATCTTACATTATTGGTTGGCCTCTTAGTTCTCTCTATTAGTTAAATTTAGCCAACACTAACTCATATGTCCTCTCACTAATTCTAAGGTTTTAAGCTGAAATCTGAATCTACAAGGAAGAATAAATGAGTTTATTGCTCATCAACTGACAGTGTATGGTATGAAAAACAGCATCATGAACGACTGAATAACTGGCATGAACAACATCGGCTTCTTCGTCAAGAATGCTAATGAAATCGTTGAAAATGAACTGGCAATCCAACCCAGTAATCACAGAAACCTCCAATGCTGAACCCATTTGGTGAATCTCAACTTTGGGTGATTTGGACTCCAAAATGATCGTTCCTCTGTTGCAAGTATTTGACAGTTCATTATTGATTCCTATAAGGCTAAGTTTTTTCTCATTCAGCTTCTCCAACTTCATCTGAATCTTCTTGATGTAGTTCGAGGCCTCTTCTAGTTGATCCGACTGCGAAACCAGCTCCTGCACACCAGAGTTAAACGTGATGTGATTGACTGAAAATGGAATTAGTAAATTAGTCAGGATGTGATTGACTGAAATCGAAGGAACTACCGGGGAGGATTGATGAGGGAGGAGCGAGTTGAGCTTGGAGTAGAGAGCCCTCATTTGGGTTCTTCGGTCCCTCTCGATGACTTTCCTATCGCCTCTGGACGAAGCAGCTTGAATCTCGCCTATCATCTGTAGAATAATATGTGACTATATACTCTTAGTCTCCTGCCAATTTTAGTATGGGTAGGTCAGTCGAGAGCTCAAGATTAATGGTTTTTCTTAGAGAAGAAGAGAGAGAAGGGCAGAAAACCGAGTCGGTGGGTTTGGAATAAATTGCCGGGGGGGTCTTCACAGGGAGTGGTGTGTCTTCTTTTATATTACTTTCCATTTTTCTCATTTTCTCATGTCAGATTAAAGATTTTTAACCGTTTATATTTAATTTTAATACAAGGCAAAAGAGATTTAGACTCGACTAATTTAGATTTGGAAAATGATGCCACCCCAGTGTCTTGGAGCACTCCCTCTTATTTTATATATAAGTCATTTTTAATAAATTTATATAAAATTATAAAAAATTTTAAATCTTATTAACTTTATCTTAAAATTTAACAAATTTTCACATTTACTTTTAATAAATATTCTTTAATAGTATTACTAATATTTTTATTCAACATTTAATAAGAAAAAAAAATGTAAAGAAAAGTATTAAAATTAGTGTTTTATAAATAGAATTAAATTTTTTTCTCTCTCCATCGTATAAATGAGATTATAGGAGTACTATCTCCATCCCAAATTATAAAACACTTTTGAGAAAAATTTTTATTCCAAAATATAAAACACTTTGAGTAGATTAAAATTTTATTAAATGCGCCAATTTTAATATTATCTTCCTCTTTCTATAATTAATTTCCATCTCTTTTCTTTTCAAAATATTAAATAATGAATATTTTTGAAAATTTATATTTTTGTTTTGAAAAGATAAAGTTGTTAAGTGTATTTAATAAAATTTATTGGTATATAAAATTTTATCTAAAAATGTCTTATAATTTAGGGCGAAGGGAGTATCTATGATTTGCTGTCTTGTACTCCTTATATTGTTCCTATTATAGGGTGCATGAATATTCCAGAAATATTTTTTTTAGACTTTCATGCATAGAATTTGATAGGTATTAAATATATTTTTTTAATGTTATTCTTATCTATACTCATCAATTACTCCCTCCATTTATATAAGAGAAAAAAATTGTACTGCCATCATCCCAAATTATAAGGCATTTTTTAAATAAGTTTTTCCATTTTAAAATATAAAACACTTTAGATAAGTTAAGGTTTCATTAAATGCACTAATTTTAATATTATCCTTTTTGTTCATAATTAATTTTCTTCCCTTCTCTTTTTGATATGCTCTCTCCATCCCAAATTATAGGGCACTTTTGAAGGAGTTTCTCTATCCCAAATACACTTTGAGTAGATTAAAGTTTCACTAAATGCACTAATTTTAATATTATCCTTTCTCTCTCTATAATTAATTTTCATCCTTTCTCTTTTCAATATATTAAATGATGGGTATTTTTAAAAGTTTATATTTTTATTTTGAAAAGATAAGGTTGTTAAATATATTTAATGACGTTTATTAGTATGTGAGATTTCATCTAAAAGTGTCTTATAATTTGGGACAAAGGGAGTATTAAATTATGGGTATTTTGAAAGTTTATACTTTTATTTTGAAAAATTAAGGTTATTAATGTATTTAACGAGGTTGATTGATGTGTGAAATTTTATCCAAAAATATTTTATAATTTGGGACAAAGGAAGTATCGTACAATTTAAGAAAGTCAGTTAACTATACTAATTATATCTAAAAATAAAGAAATTAGACTAAAATATCATGTGTTAATCAATATAAACATGCATTAATTATTTCTCATTATTGTAAATTATGAAGGATAATTTAGAAAATCTATAATAAATACTTATTGAGATATGTGATTTTGCTTATAAAAAAATAAATAAAAAGTGAAAGTTTTTCTAACGAATTAAAATGGAGGGAGTATGATAGGGAATAATGCAAATTTGAATTAAACTTATACCTATTGGGCCTCCCATCTCCCATTTATTATTTGCTGATGATCTTTTACTTTTTGCAGAGACGTCTCTTGCGCAGGCTTCGATTATCTAGAATTGTCTCTCTAAATTTTGTAAAGCTTCTAGGTAGAAAATTAATATCTCCAAATCTAAACTTTTTTTATTCTAGAAATGTCAACATTAACAGGGCTACTTAGATCAATGATACTTTGGGCATTCCTCTTAGTGTAAATCTTGGAAAATACTTGGAAATACCTTTGTTTTATGAGAAAGTTACGAAACTCACCTTTGCTCCTTTACTTGATAAAGCTACATCCCGTGTTGCCAGTTGGAGAAGTCATTTTCTTGACATTGCTGGCTAATCAGCCTTCATCAATTCTGTCCTCTCTGCTCTTCATAGCTATGCCATGCAGATTATGCTCATTCCTAATAATGTTTTGGCTAAAACTAGAAAGATGTTCGAAGAATTTTCTTTGAAACTCTGCTGATGGAACTATGAAGCCTCATCTTCTTTTTTGGGATTGTGTTACTAAGGATAAATCAAATGGGGGACTTGGACTCAAAAATCTCAAGAATCAAACTATTGCCTACATTATGAAATTATGCTGGAGTTTCATCACTCAACCTAAATGTCTCTGGGTTCAGATTCTCTGGGATAAATACAAATGCAACAAAATTGCTATTCCAGTGGTCTATAAATCAAGTTCTTCTTATTACACATGGAGTAGTATTTACAAAATTTGGGATAATTTCATGTCTCAAGTTGGATGGAAAATGGGTAAGGGTAACCAAATATCCTTTTAGTATGACAAATGGGCTTCTCTCCCCAAACCTCTTGTTAAATATGCCCTCCTTGGCGCTAAATCTATTCTTCATGTAAAATCTCTTATTTATGCACGCCCGCAGGAAGATAGAATTTCAACCTTCTTAATTGTCATCTTCACCCTAACGTGATTAAATAAATTGCTCTTGTGCAACCTCCTAACTCTCATGGTGATGATGATGTCCTTTGTTGGATACCTTCCTTTGACGGAAATTTCTCTATAAATTCCGCTTACAAAAAGCTGAAATCCCAAAACGAACAAAAAAATTATGATATTTAGTCCAAAATCTAGAAGTGGCCTATATATGAAAAAAATCAAGTGTTTCCTTTAGAAAGCGGCTTGGGATCAGCTACAAAGTAATTTTATAACCCATGAAGGACACAACCTAATAACGAAACTGCATCTTCAATTATAACTCTCTTGACTCTTCAATTCACATCTTACGAGATTTCAAGGAAGTACGGGAGGTTTGGCTAAAGCTAGTCAATCCTTCCAAGCTAAATAATTTTTTCTCTCTTAATGTATAGGACTTAATAGCTTAGAATGCAAGAAACAAAATAGGGAATACCAACACAAGAAAAATTAATTGGCAGAAGCTCTTTGCTCATGTCTATTGGAACATATGGAAAGCGAGATATAAGTGAATTTATTCTGAAGATGACAATCAAGACAAAGATATTTTCTTCTCTTGTACCTAACAAATCACAAATGACATGTGCTTCTATCAAGAGTGGATATTTTGAATAACGAAAAACTCAGATCCAAGGCTAAATGGCATCCTCCGAAGGCAGGATGGGTCAGACTCAATACATACGACTTAGTTAACTCTCTTGGTATTGCAACTTGTGGTGGAGTCATACGTGATGAAAAAGAAAATTGGATTATCGGTTTCTCAAAATTTCTTGGTTGTTAACCTTGTACTACAGCTGAATTATCAGGCATTTTAGAAGGTCTCCAACTTGGTTGGAATGCTAATCTTACCAAGATTAATTTACACACTGATTCTATGGAAGCCCTGTCTCTTATTCAACATAACTTTTTTGAAAGCCATCCTTTAGTGGCAACCATCAAGAAAATAGGGGAGTTTACTATGAAAAATTGGACGGTCACTTTTGATCATGTCTTCAGAGAAGCAAATAATTGTGCTGATTTGTTCGCACGGGAAACTTCGCATGACAATTATGACCTCTCTATTTATAGTGTTCCACCTATGGGATGTAGGAACATCTTGAACTTTGATGTATCCTGACTTTTGTAACCCTAGCATGATCTTGACCGTATCTTTTCATTCAAAAAAAAATAATTTTTCATTTAAACAATGGTAAAAATTAAAATTTTATTTTATTTTCACATAAAATTAATAACTTGATCACCTTTAATTGATTTTTGTGAAGTAGTCAAAGGTACTTCATAATGAGAACTAGAGAAAGCATATAGTAATTCTAGTTATAGTATAAAAGTTGTTTTATTTGTAATTGAAGTTCTTGATCTTGTAATTATTTAAATTGATATTTTTAACGTATTTATTAAAAAAAATTTCACAAACATAACTATCATTAATTTAGTCTCTTAAAACCTACTTACTCTATTAAAATATTTAAGATATTTCTAATCAAATATCATTTCTGACAAATTAGTTAACTATCTTTCAATTAAAATTATCTTTCTATATTTATTTTTATTTAATAAGGTATTTTACTTAAAAATATATATAAAATAATTTATTTATTTATTAAGGATAATTTTTACTATCAATCCCTAAAATAAACTTTTTTTTTTTCTCAACAAAGTGTCATTCTTGCCAGGATACATGTGCGTGTAGTCTGGCACCAAATTCAAATATAGTCTTATAGGAGCGCGTAAAGTGCACTCCCATTCATGCAATTCCGTTTCCGAAGCAAAAACATTTTCATAGACAAATAGGAGTGTCCAGAAACGAGAAGTGATTTTGAAGCGTTTTCGTAATTATTTCTTAATCGTGGATTACATGAAACCGGGCAATTATAAATATCGCATGGCCTTAACCTAGATTTAAATAAGGCAAAATAACTTAATAACTAATATACATGATATTTTAGGTGTCTCGGCGTCCTCATCATCCACCGGTGGAGGACAAATAAAAAATAATAATATAACTTTAAGTCTTTACATTTTACTTGCATTTTATTAATAATTTTTGTATTTTTTTTAATATTTTAAATCTCTATACTTTTATTTTTTATTATCTTATATCCTTTTAAAGTTCTTATATTTTATTTATAAAAGAACTTAAAATAAAAA